CACTCCCTTTCCCCTTTTATTGTAAGCCGCCCTGAGTCCCCTCAGGGAAAAGGGCGGCCTATAAATCTATAATAAATACCTTAAAAAAAAATACCTAAAAGACAAAATGTCACAAGCATGCGTGTTTAATTATAATCTATTCAGCAGTGTTACCCCTGCAGAGGTATAGCTTTACTTCAGTGTTCTGGAGGTACTTCTGAAGTAAATGTAATCAAGGACAAAAAAAGTGGGTTAAAACTAAACAAAATAATTTAATCTAAATTTAAGCAAAAATATTTTTATTGAATTCACTAAATAGAATACGTTATTGGCCATGTGTGATTGAACACAAGGAATTTGTCTCTGGTGTATAAGCTCAAACAACAAAGTATATAATTATAAGATACCAATGGAAAAAGTAGTAGAAAAGATGAGAAGGATAATAGTAATACAGCCCTGCGCACATGGGTAAATATCCTTAGACATAAGACAGTGCTGCGGGAATTAACAGCATCATTAGCCAATCTATTTACATGGTAGGCAAATTGCAAGGGGTCTAGCAGTGGATCTGTGATGATTTTGAGATGGGCCAGCAACTAAGCTTTCAAAAGTTTTAATAACTATTGATGTCAGAGCAACTGGTCATTCATCTCCTTGATGGAGGGTTCCAGAGACTACAACAACAATTTATTATTAGTCTTAGAGCAGCAGCCAGAACAAATAAAAGCACTCAGTATATATACACTTAAAACTTACAGTATAAAATAATAAATAACAACTAAAATCTATAATAAAATCCAGTGTCAATTATACATGGTCTGACTATAAGATAGTTGCAATCCCTAAACTGTGTGGCCCATTGTAGGTTCAATGCTAAAAGTGAAGTGACTAAGCAGTGCAAAGGGTTTGCCACAATTGTTACATAACATCACTGTTCTATAACATGTTTGTGATGAATCCCCAGTGCTGCTGCATAGAATCTGGCCACATGCGCTGTAGTTACGGACTGTTCATCCTTAAGCAGCCATTGGATAGGTAGTGTTGGAACGGTCAGGATACCTAGCAGTTATTGGCAGAGTATGTTTTTTTCCTAATCTCCGTATAAAAGGAACATCTAAGGAGCATGTGACCCAGTCTCCGTCTCTCCTGATGGAGGGCTTTTTAAATGCAAGGAATTATTACTCCTTACACATTTAACATTTTTTCCTTTCTGTAAAGCATGTAACTTCTACAGTATCTCAAGTTATAATTTGCTAATAACTTCTGCAGATCTTATAGGGCCATGATGGTGAACTTATGGCACGCGTGCCACAGGAGGCACATGGAGCCATTTCTGGGGGACGCAAGGTGTTGCCCTGTCAGTGCCAGCTGGTTTCAACCATGATTTTAAGCCCTTGTTCGCCCTCCGGAGGTTTCAGGGAAGCCCTGGAGGGCAAAAAACCACCCAATGCACAAATGGGACTTCTGGTTTGCGTGTTGGGCCGTTTTTCACCTTCCGGAGGGCAAAAAACCTCCAAACCTAACACACAAACCGGAAGTTGGAAAACGGGCTGTTTCTGGCCTCCGGATGGCCTCCAGGGGCGGGGGAGGCAGTTTTTGCCCTCCCCGGGCTCCTAGAAAGCCTTTGAAGCCTGGGCAGGGCAAAAAACAGTTCCAGTGCCACTGCATGCACATGGGGGGGGGGACTCGCGTGCACATGCACAGTGGGGAGGGTGCAGAGTGCATAGAATTTTGGGTATGGCATGAACCCATGAACACCCCCCCCCCCGCATGGCTAAAAGGTTAGCTATCACTGCTATGTGGACTACACACTGCAGTATTAAAGTTTTAAAATACAGGTTTATATTGACTGTTTCCTAATATGATTTGATTGCTTATTTGTAGCCCATGACTATCATTAAGTGCTGTACCATACGATTCTTGACGAATGTTTCTTTTCTTTTATGTACACTGAGAGTATCTGCACCAAGACAAATTCCTTGAGCGTCCAATCACACTTGGCCAATCAAGAATTCTATTCCTATTCCCTTCTCTTCTCTCCACTCATCGGGAGGGGAAAGCGGATCTAAGGCGGTCCTGTAAGCCAACCGCCCGCGTGCCTTTTTTTCCCCTCACGCCGCCCGCCCCAAAATACCGCGGGACGAGACGCCTTCCGTTTCCCTCGTCCCGCGTTCACGTCTAACGGACCTGAAGTTGGACCAGGCGAAATTTAGCGCCGCTTGGAAGTGGCCGGACGTTTCGGGGCTCCGCTCGTCCAGGCCGGTTACTTGCCGGATGAGCTCCCGTACCGCTAGGTCTTGCTCTTGGTCAAAGCGGCTCCAGTGAGCAGGCGGAGTCGTGGCCGACGATGCCGTCGCCATCACGGGCCGAGGGGGGAAAGAGATGAAACCGGGGTGGGTGGGGTGGGGGAGTTGGTGCTGAAGTAGTTTCTCTAAAGGGCTCCGTTTATTTCGGTGGCCAGTACGGCTCACATCTCGCGAGATTCCGCTACTCTTCTGTGGTTGGGAAGCGCTTTGCGTGAGGGTCTACGCATGCGCCTCTTTACTTCCCACGCTCTCGCTTCTTCCGCCTCCCTCAGCCCGCCCGCCCCTTTTCCCAGAGGGCCTGTTTGAGAAGCGGGTCTATAATTTTGCATTGGGGTTTTTTGCTGTTGTTTATTTTGTAGTTGATATTCATTTTCTGCAATTGCTTATAAAACTTTGTCTTCGTGTCTGATTGAATAATTGAATAATAATTAGAAATATACCGGTGGAAACCACCTCCATCACTTAGGCGACCTTGATCCAGAAACTAACTTAGGACGTCCGACATAATTCCTATGCATAAAAGTTAGACTGAGAAAACAAGACTGGGTGGGTCATGTTTTTGATTCTTTGCATGTTTACTGCAGAGTAGGTTGTTCCCGCAACTGATAATCCTCGTGGGAGGAAGAGATTTAATTGCGATTTTGTGTTTCGTTTTTTCCAAGTCAGTTGTGTAGAGATGCGAATGTCGTCATAAAAATTGTAAAAAAAAGTGATGTACATTTGCATGTACAATATTCTAATTATTGCCAGCTCAGATACCACTAATCGGGAAAAGAGACTTCGCATCACAGTGTATAGCTTAATGAAAATGTCATTGCATTGTGTTTTTTAAAGGCAAATGTTATGCTTGAAATTAATAAGGAAATTAAAAATAAAATAAAAAAGTTGAATGGAGAACCAGTACAGAGATGACTAAGTATTGGTCCAGCACCAAGAGATCCAAGTAGTAGTCCTTTTACAAGAGAAATTTTGTGACTTTGGTCTACTCATTCTCTCAACCCATACAGAGTTGTAGAGGAGAAATAGGGAGTGTATGCTACATAAAATGTTGAAACACAAATCATACAAATAAGTATTAATGTATAGTCGTGGTGTCCACATTTGAAAAATGATAACTGTAAAACTGGAAATGCAAAGAAAGAGGCTAGTGCAGTTCTAGGGGGGAAAACCCAAACAATATTATAGCCTTTTAGATTGAAGTAGATAGAAAAGAAAGATACTAATTCAAACAATGCTGTGAAAAGTATAGTTAAGAGGTTTTTCTCATTAAAACCAAATGAAGGACCTATTAATGGTACAACAGTATTTTACTCAAATACATTTAGTACAAAAACAATGAAATTAACTGCCACTAGCTGTAGTGAGGTCACAAATATAGATAATCCTCAAATTACAACAGTTCATTTGGTGATTGTTCAGAGTTTGACAGCACTCAAAACCGTTTATGACCATTTTTTACATGTATGAATGTTGCAGCATCCGCATTGTCATGTAATCAAAATTCCAATGCTTGGGAACTGGCTCATGGTGGTTTTAATGTCCTGGGGTCATGTGACCGATCTTTTGTGACCTGGCAAGCAAAGTCAATGGGGAAGTCAGATTCACTTAACAACCATGTTACTAACTGCAGTGATTCACTTAACAATGGTGGCAAGAAAGGTAGTAAAATGGGGCAAAATTCATTTGAGCCATATTATTTAACTGCTATATTATTTGTTTTTATTTAGCATGCCATATAAATAAAGCCATTTTGGATTATGAACCACTTTTTGTATGAGTGATGCAAACCACTCTTAGAAATATATCTGAACAACATTGTGGGTTACAATTTAACAACCATTATGTAATATAGTTTAGTTTTTACATACTGGTTGGTTGTGCTCTGCCAAGATTTAATACAATACAATACACTACAATAGCAGAGTTGGAAGGGACCTTGGAGGTCTTCTAGTCCAACCCCCTGTCTAGGCAGGAAACTCTATATAGTTTCAGACAAATGGCTTCTTAAAGATTTCCAGTGTTGGGGCATTCATAACTTCTGGAGGAAAGTTGTTCCACTGATTAATTGTTCTAATTGTCAGGAAATTTCTCCTCAGTTCTAAGTTGCTTCTCTCCTTGATTAGTTTCCACCCATTGCTTCTTGTTCTTGTTCTACCCTCAGGTGCCTTGGAGAATACTTTGACTCTCTCTTTTTTGTGGCAACCCCTGAGATATTGGAACACTGCTATCATGTCTTCCCACATTTCACATTAGAGTTTGATATAAAACCTGTATACCATATTAGAGATGTAGTGCAATGTGTAAACATAGGCAATATGACAGGCCCCAAATCACCAAAACCTTGATCGCTTTGTCTTCCCAACATACATGAAGTCATAGTCTCAGACTCACAGCCCACTGGATGTACAGATTGTAACTCTTTGACTAATTACAATATCTGTAGCCTGAAAAAATATTTTGCAGGATCCAAAAAAGCTGCCCATCAAAGTCAAGGCACTGAACACAGAATAGATGAACTTGGGGGCATGTTGGGGTGTGTGATGTGTTCCAAAAAGAACATTGCATAGTGGCAGTGGTTCTGATCAGCCAGGCTGCCTAGAAGCATTACTGCAATTTTGTTCTCAGCAGGCATTGCTTCTGGGGTTGTCCCCAAATCTCCAGGGAAGGACAGTGGGGAGGTAAGGCTTGGCTAAATTGGATCTTCCTTCCCTCCCTCAATTTTTTTCCATCCATGTTGTTTCACAGTGACTAGATTTCAGTATAGTATCCCAAAACCTGTCTGGTTCATCTCCTGTTACTTCACATCTGCACAAGAGTTTCCCACACTGATTCACTCATTCCAAGAAGAGGTGATGCTAACACAAGTCAGGATACTCCACTAGTGATTCCATTCACAGTTCCTCAGTTTCCAGCCTCTCCATTGTGACATTGTTACAGCAACATTTTTTCCACCTGTGGAATTTTCCATCTTTCTATTGCCGTTATAAAAAGAAAATAGAAAAAAGTGATGCCAGTTATTAATCAAAATGATTGATTATTTTGCTATGTTTCACAATATTTTTATTTAATGCATTTACTGGAACTTGAGCAGTAGTTTATGATTATTACACACTCTCACACACACACATACATTTTTCCTTACTAGTATCAAAGATAGAACAGTTTTTCTGAAAGGAAAGGGAGACACCATAATCAAAAAGCTCATGGGATTTTACCCTTCTTCAGGGTTCTTGTATAAATGGTTATGTTTAAATATGTTGCCAGCCAATTCTCATTGTGCTGCAAAATGAAGGACTTTGTCTTTTTTATGCAGTATTTTATTTATACTGAACATTTGAAAAGAATCATTAAAATTGCTCTGAGCTCTGGTTGAGGATTAAATTGAAGAACAGTCTTAATCTTTGTTGGGAATGAGATCTGACCTTTATAAATGCTAATTAGCAGTCTCCTTGCACAGGCTTTTTCACATATTTATATTCATTTGGCTTGCAAATCTTTAGTAGGTTTCAATATTTTTACGCTAACCAATATGCATTCATTAGTTCTGTTTGCTTGTATGGTTCTTACAAAATGTAAATAGCAATAACTAGATCTTTTCTTTTTAATACAATAATTTGTTACAATTTAATATCATTGCCATATTTTCTAGGCATTATTTTTATTCGATTCTTGTTAATAGACTCTGTACCATGTTCATTTAAAGTGACACTTAAATTAAACTGTTAGTAAAATTGTAGGCTTATGTGAAAAGTTGTCTAGCTTTCGAAGACCTGCTGTTTCTTTTATCCATAACCTGATTCTACAAAGAATTATGTGCAAAGATATTCTGAAACTTCTTGAGAATGTCATGTTCCTTAGCTTTCATCTGGAAAAGGAGATTCATTCATACCTATCATATTGACCTTCAGAGAAGTTAATGAGGCATGAGGTAGTATATAAGTCTAAATTCATACAACATGCAATTTCTTTTAGAGTATATATAAACCTAATAGTACATTCACTACCAGTTAACTGGTGAACCATATTCAAGATGCTATTTTTGATACAGAGGGCCTTAAACTTTAGATTATGTTAAATATCAGTAGCATTCTATACTTCCAAAACATTACTTTCCTCTTGCTTAGAAATATGTGTAGGAATATGTGAACTACCTGTAGTTAATTAAGTGCCCTACAGAGTTTTATATGTCTTGACCATAAGTGCCATTTAACTTATGTTATTGTATTTTTCTTTAAAAAGCCACTGAATGCTTTGTTTTTTTTACATTGATAGGAGTTTAGGAAAACCATAGGGAGAAACGAACAGGCCTGGTTCTCACAACACTCTTAAGAGGTTAGTTAACAGTTAACAATCTCAACTGAACATCTTCACTAGTGGTTCTGTCAGAACAGAAATCATACTAACTCACCAATTCCCGAAAATAAAGTCCTCACTGAAATATATTTTGTTCAGACCCTCCCTTTTAGTGGATTATGATTTCAAAGTGTCATTCTGTCTTATTCTCACAATCATATACCTTATCACTTACCCCCCTATTCAAATTTTATTGCAGCTTGTAGTTGCAAAGAATCCTGGAGGAAGCAAAATATTCAATCAGGTGTCATGGCAGGATTCAGAAATGCAGTCGTTTTGGTTGCATTTATTGATGGGCTGTGGTGGAAGCTGACTGGAGGTGATGCATCCATCTTTGCATCCGTTGTTCTCAGAAAGCAGTAGCTTGGTCACACAGTGAGATACTGATGAAGCGGGCACAGCAGCACCTGCATTTTTTGTGTTGTATGAGAAGAGCACATCTTCCTTCCCCTATCCTTACTATTTTCTGTAGAGGGATGATTGAAAGCATCCAGTCATATTGTATTATTGTGTGGTTTGGAGGTATTACTGTTTCAAACAGGAAGGCTGTGCAGAGAATGATGAGTATGGCAGGAAAAATATTTGAAATTTACTTCTATCCAAGACATAGCATATAAGCAATGCTTGACCAGGGTGCACAGTATTGTCTGGGATGCTACACGTCTTCTCCATGACCAGTTTTCTTTGTTACCTTCTGGGAGGAGGCTTTGC